TGATTTTGTCGATTTTCTCCAAATCCAAGTGGCCTTTTGAAAAACAAACTACACCACATTTAGTTACTTACTAATAAGTATGTATGGACAAGATATGAGCGAAATTTAATTTTTGATCGTGGCCGCTGGCCGGTTGCTCGATATTTACAGACATTCTTAAGCCATTAAGCTCTTAAGCCATTAAGTGGGCAGCCTCCTCTTTATATCTCCGAACTAATTCGTCTTACCAGCCAACTAAAACCTTAAGGTCCACTAGCTGTCTTGTAGGTTGCTAACCGTTCTACTTAATAATCATATAGGATAGATCTTTGACTGTTGCCTCTGCCAAGTCATGGAACTCGCCTCCTTTACATTTACGCAACTGTTAAACTGTTAGCACTTTTAAACCAGTCTAGAAACTAGAAGCTCAGGGTTAAGAAGTGATTTGACGTCATGCCTAGTCTGCCGTCTTCCTAAAATAATTGATCGATATGATGACAAGTACGTGTGAGCCAAATGCGACTGTTCCGTAGCCAGTTTCCCGGTGTCACAAACCACGATCGCCAAATTCCACCCCTCCATTTCGGCCCATAGTTTCCTCCATAGGCACCTACAACTACAGCTTGGCCAAATACTTAAGTAATCTCCTCCAACCTCATAGAGCGGTTTTCACTTGACTGTCGAAAGTAATTGAGGAATTGGTTTGGTTTTGGTTTTACTACGCCCTTTGGTTGGCTAGTGTATTTACTTTGGTTTTGGTTTTACGCCAGTCAAGTGAAAACCGCTCTATTCCGTCCACATTCATTGCTTCAGATTCCTTCACTTTTGTGAAGGAAATCAATGATCTATCTTTGCATGGGATGTTTATGGTCTCCTTCGATGTTGAAAGCCTCTTCACCAACATACCTCTAGATGATTGTATTAACCTTGCCGTCAAATATATTACTGAGGGTAATCCAGGGTTGAAACTTAGTAAAAGTGAGCTTAAAAGGCTGTTTGAGTTTGTTACCAAGGAAACTCACTTCCTCTTCAAAAGTAACTTCTGTGATCAGGTGGATGTTGTAGCCATGGGGTCCCACCTTGCCCCTGTTCTCGCCAATCTCTTTATGGGTCACCATGAGAATATATGGTTGGACCAATACGGGGATTCAGAGGTACGTAGACGACACATTTTGCCTTTTCCACTCTGAACGGGATGCAACCCTTTTCTTCAATTACATCAACAATCAACACCCCAATATACGCTTTACAATGGAGCGGAAAACTGACCATGTTTTACCTTTCCTAGATGTTCTAATCAATAACACTGACCCACACCACCTGTAGCGTCCACTCATAGCTACTTGAAACTGTACTTTAATCAGTTGTTCACTTGCTAGTTCGTTTCTAATCTGCACATAACTTGTATTCATTCCATTCACAAATTGCACGTGAAAGAGAAAGATTCGAAGTTATTGTGCCTTCTTAATGGAAAGGAAAACTTGTCCTAACGAAACGACAGTATAACTCCATAACAAAACATGTGCTTTTTCGTGGGAAAGAGCGCCCGCGATATTTTGTGTGCGGTCACCGAAGACCACACCATATAACGTTTATTTTCTGTCTCTTACACCACCGTTTACCGGAAAAAGACTTTCACAGGTCTGCTCACCAGTTATCTGAGTTTTTGCCCCTTTACCTACAAATTGGGGTTACTCAAAACCTTGATTCATAGAACTTTTAAGATAAACAACACTTTGATGGGGTTCCATACTGACCTTCAAAAATTGTCTGTCATTCTGCGGACGAATCTCTTCCCTGAGAACCTTATGAACAAATATATTTCTAAATATATTCAGACATCAGTCAAGGGAGGGAAAACACAGCCCTATTCAGGAGTCGAGCCCCAGGAAACACCTAAGTTCTTCTTTAAAATCCTTTACGTTGGGCACTTCTCAGTCACGACACAGAGGAGTATACGCAAACTTGCTAACCGGTTATGTCAACCTATTGATTTAAGGTTACTTTCAAAGTCAGGAATCTTTTTAATGTGAAAGGTGCTGTCCCTGAGGGGCTACGCACGCGTGTGGTCTATAAATTCAATCTCGGCGATTTTATTGAAAGGAAGCGTAACTCTTTTGCATCAGAAAATTGAAACGTATGTTAGCACTAATTTGTCTTCAATCTTCGTGGAAAGTCCCCAAAAAATATCCGGAAAACGAGAGAATTATCCACGCATCGCAAATATAAATAAATACATACAATTCATTTGCTTTGGGTGTTTTTCTGAAATCCTACTAGACAACGAAGTAATTAATTTAAGGCGCTTTCCTTCTGAAAACATAAATGTCTTTGTCTGGCAAAAAATAACTAGTCATATGTTTTAAGTTTCGCACAGACATTTTATCTATTCTTTGTCTAGTTGAAAGACGCGTTGCAAGAGAATTTAGAGCTCAACTGATTAATTTAGGTCATCGAACCTTGTTTGCCCAGCATTAAATCGAGTGATGGCACTACGCACGCGTGTGGTCTATAAATTTTCGTGTGCAAGTTGTAATGCTTGTTATGTTGGTGAAACCAGCTGACACTTCTTCACACGAGTGCGCGAGCACTTACTTTCAGACAGGTCTTCGAACGTTTTTAAACATCTGCAGAGTTCAGAGTTTTGTAGAGCATCCTGCACACCGGTTGCTTCGAGATCCTGGACTCTGCAGCCACTAAGTAGCAAGTGAAGCTTAAGGAATCCATGTTTATAAAATATGAGAAGCCCGATCTCAACCAGCAGGTGAAACACATTAAACTGACTCTCTCCCTGTAAAGAACTAAGCGTCACTCATTTAATTTTGTTTTAGTACGCAATATTGACAACGCAATGTAACGAACTTTGTAAGATCGCAATAATTTATCTTAATTAATGTATCTTAGTAATATATCTTAGTCAATTACTTTGAGGCAAAGTAAAAGAAATTAAACCAAGGATAAAGTGAACCACAACTGATATGCAAAGCATCTGAGTTTATGTATAGTAAGTTTCTATAACCAACCAACATGGTTTCGACTAAATGTTAATTAACTATCTTTTATTTTCACCTATTGTCAATATAATCTACCAGCTTGGCTTAGAATAAAGAGAATAAGTAAACGGAATAAATATTATCTAAAATGTAGATTTTGCTGGGATAAAACCATTGGCTGCTCTTCCTCTATTAGACTAGATGATCGTTTATTACATATTACACGTAACGTTGAAGAGTCTGCTAAAAGAACTGATCTGAAATATAATACCGTAAAATTCTGAAAATAAGCCCCTCCATAAAACCCCTTCAACTAGAAGGCCCCCAAACTCGTAACGCAAAAAGCCCTCCGTTAAATCTTAAATCACTCCTCAAAATATAAGCTCTCCCGGGGGGCTTGTACTTGGAAACTGCCCTCAAATACAAAGTAAAATAAAGCAAAAAGGGTAAATTTCCTTCCAACTACAAGGCTAGCCCAATCGATTTTGAAACGTAAATTTCCCCAAGCAAATAAGCCCCTCCAAAAATACGCCCCTCAAAAAGGGCCTTTGAAAAATATAAGCCCGGGGGTTTAGTTTCGGAATTTTACGGTATACTAACTGAATAGATGATAACCTCGAACACGCAGAACTCTAACATCCTCCACTATCAACAGCAATGTTTTGACAATATGTTTCGCAGTATTTCCATAATAGCGTGTCGAATAGGTCTCATCTTCCACGCGTAGATGAGCGGATTCAGTGAAGAATTCAGATGGACTAGG